AGGCAAATCAAAACAGACAGAAAGTGTATCAGTGGCTGCCAGGGGCTAGGGGAGGCTGGGGTGAGGGTACCTGCTAATGGGTACAGGATTTTTCTTTGGGGTGATGAAATGTTCTGGAATTAGTGGTGATGCAATCATTATAAATATACTAAAAGCAACTGAATTGCACAGTTTAAAGAGGTGCATTTTATGGTAAGTGAAATATATCTCAATTTAAAAGAAAAAGGTACACAGAGCTTCCAATCAGCTTCTTCTGATTTAAATATAAGCTGGAAACAAGGATCACCAGAATCTTGAAGAATATCTCCACCATAGATCAAAACATACCAAGACAATCAGAGAAAACAGAGATAATAATGCAGGACTCAGAAGAAAACATCAAAGAATTATAATTAATATCCTCTGAGTGGTAAGAGAACATATTGCTCTCATGAAACAGGAAAAAGCCAAAAAACAAGAAATTATTCACAATAACATTTTTTGTTTAATTATTGCTGAAATAAGCAGGCCCTTCAATAAAAGAAAAAGGATATTTAAAATAAAAATATTAAATAATAATAAAGTATATCCTCTGAAATACCTCTACCTCAAATTTAAAAAGTCAAAGAGATGGCAATAGGTGAGAAAAGATTAAAAGAAATTAGAAAATCAATTCAGGAAGCCTAACATGAAAATCCAAGAAATAGGAGTTCCAGAAAAATGAGAGCAGATAAAATGGTAAAATGGAAATTATCACAAAAACAGTATAAGAAAAGTTCACAGAATTATAGAATATATATATACATACATATATATATATATGTCTTCAGATTTTAAAAGCCCTCAACAACAAATGATAAAATACCTATACCCAAAGAACATGATTCAGAAATTCCAGAACAGCAAAGATATTGAAAAGATACTTAAAGCATCTACAGAGAAAAAACCCACATTACATACAAAAAGATCAAGAATAAAATGGTAACAGACTTCTCAACAGCTAGAGAAAAATGGAAAAATAACTTCAAAATCTTAGGAAAAATGAATTTCAACCTCTATATCCAGAAAGACTATAAATCAAGTGAAAAGATAAAACTAAAACATTTTAACATGCAAGATCTCAAGAATTTACCATTTGTACACCCTTTCTGAGAAAATTACTGAAGGATAGTCTCTGAGAAAACAAGGAAGGCAAAGAATCAAAAGAAAAAGGGACCAGGCACAGTGGCTCATGCCTGTAATCCTAGCACTCTGGGAGGTTAAGGTGAGAGGATTGCTTGAGGTTAGGAGTTCAAAACCAGCCTGAGCAAGAGCCATAAACTCCATCTCTACTAAAAATAGGACAAAGAAATTTTCCAGGCATGGTGGCATACGCCTTATAGTCCTGGCTACTCAGGAGGCTAAGGCACGAAGATCGCTTAGCCCAGGAGTCGAGATTGTAGTGAGCTATGATCACGCCACTGCACTCTAGCTGGGGAAACAGAGAGACTCTGTCAAAAAAAAAAAAAAGAAAGAAAGAAAAAGAAAGAAACATAAGAGAAAGGCAAATGATTTCCCAGGAAGAGGGTGAATGGAAATACCAGGATAACCAACAGCTTTACAGAAATCTTAAAGAGCAAGAGGAAAGGGAGCTTCAAGAAAAACACTGAACTGATATATTATCTAATGGGTTTGGCCACATAGAAAATATGAAAAGATTACAGAGCCGTTGACGAGTGGGCATCCAAGTCAAATATTCAAAGACAGCTAAACAAACAGAAAAATTGCACAAGAAAGGAAATGTAATCACAGAAGACTATCAGATTCAACAGTGAACAATGTTGAACCATATTATTGTAAAGTCATAATAATGTAAATACTGAATAAGGATTTTATAAAAATAATAAGATAACTTCTATCAGAAGGAAAGAGAAAGAGAAAGTATAGGTAAGCTAAAATCTTCATCTGTGTCATTGGAAAACAAACAGTAATGGTCACAATCGATGAATCAGGTGATAGCTTAATATCCGTATTATTCAGAAATATTGAAGTAGATGCCAAAATAAATAGTTAAATGCATTGAAAGATGCTGTTTCTGGGCGTGGCAATCATGATTGGTTGGGAGAGCTAGGGGAGATAGGGAAAGATAATTTGGACAAATTTTTTAAGTTGTTTAAGTTGTCTTCTAGCCGGAAGACAGAGTGCTTTGAAGTCGAGACATAGTTTAACCTGGATCTGCCACTTCCAGGCTGGTGACCTTGAGGGGATTTTTCCCCTTCTCAGGCCTCCGTTTCTTCCCTGTTAACAATCCTCCCTGGTCTGGTGCATGGCAAGGACGCAGGTGCATGGCAGGGTCTGGTGCATGGCAAGGACACAGGTGCATGGCAGGGTCTGGTGCATGGCAAGGATGCAGGTACATAGCAGGGTCTGGTGCATGGCAAGGACACAGGTGTATGGCAAGAACGCAGGTGCATGGCAAGGACACAGGTGCATGGCAAGAACGCAGGTGCATGGCAAGGACACAGGTGCATGGCAAGAACGCAGGTGCATGGCAGGGTCTGGTGCATGGCAAGGACACAGCATTCTAGCAGACAGTAAGTAGACGGGAGGCCCTTTCCCGCCCCGTGTTCCCCGTGGATGCGGTTGCTCCTGCTGGGGAGCAGGGGCTGCATCCCTGCATCCTCCGCTCCTTCGTGCCCTGCCCAGCCCCTGCTAACATATGTGCAAAAGGATACATCACTCGGCAAACTGCCAAATTGAATAATTGGCTGCTACAAGTCATGGCTCACCTGAGAGACAGTATTTCATTGAGGGATAATTACAGGAAAAGTAGAGAAAATGCTATTATAATAATGCCATTAATACCAGGCCTTTCAATTATCCCCACAGTAACAGAGTTTTATGTGTCTGGTTAAAACAAAAGACTGCAAAATAATCTGGTAGAGCCAACAATTTCTAGCCATATTCTCTCTCTGTCTCTCTCCCTCTCCCCCCACCGCCCCCCCCACTTGTGTACGCCGGACATAAAAGTAAGACTCTGCTCGAAATAAAAAAAAAAAAAAAAAAACCATAAGAAAATGCGCTAGAGCTTGCTTTTACTCTTTGTGTTCCTACAAAGAATTGTGGTGGTCGGGC